CTGATAAAAGTCAACGCTTATTGCAAAGAGAAATTGAAGGTTTAGACAAATATCTTTGGCTAGTTGAAAATGGACAAGATCGAAAGGTTTTCTTTTGAATTGGTTGACATCGTTTATCATTTTTCTTTTCATAGATCGATTTGACAATGAGCAATGAAGATTTGAATGAAGCGCATGATTGTGTGACTGTTGAACCTGATTCAGGCATTGAATTACCATTTGGTTGGATCAAACAATGGAGTAAACGAGCGGAGCGATTCTATTATTTTAATACAAATACAGGCAAATCTCGATAGGAGCCACCAAATTGGACAGGTACTTTCTATCAATCATTATCATCTATTCCGTAATCAAGATTTTTTTATTTAATTGATGAATAAAGAACTATAGTAATTCTTGTTGCTATCAAAGCTGATCAGATATCTATGGCGTATATCATGATAATGCAAATATAAATGGCTAAAAACACCCACACCTTAATTAAAATAATTTCAAAGTATCAACAGTACGATTTTAATGCAATCAATGCCAACGAAAAGCAGCCAATCCTGATGATGGTTTCATTATACTGTCTGTCGTCTTTCCTATAAACAGTATCCGAAATAGGATATCGTGTCACTTGAATGAAAACATGTCTATCAAAGACATCTTCGTTTGCAACCTTATTCTTTAATTTTTACGATTAGAAACGTTTCTTTTCTCTGTATATTCAATAACGAAAGTATAATATCTGTTTCACATGTAATATTATGACAATCATCAATGTTCAATAGGAATAATATCTATATATTTCAAAAAAATGTTAGACTTTTTCTTTCAGTTTTTTCTTTCAATCGTTCATATGCATCTTCAAAAATGGGTTCTTTGATCACACCAACACGATGGTAGATTGTGCGAGTACTTATATACGGTGAAAGTTGTTCAAATGCATTTCGAAGTTCTTTTCGTGCTTTTCTTCTTTCTGATAGAACTTGCCGTGTTTCATCACCGTTTGCCCATAGTGATGTTGCATTGAGATAAGTTCGAACAGCATCTCGGTGAGCTGCTTCGGCCGCAGCTTTTCCTTCAGTATCGGCACGAAAGGCTTCGTACATGGCATTATCCTCCTTCGTTGGCGGCACATATTTGAAATCTGGTTGTGCACCATTTAATCTTTTCGGAAGAACAGCTGGATCAATATATTGAGATAATTCTTCATTGCTGTGAATAAATTGTACTTTCTTCTGAACTGTTGGATTTAACCACGATTTAATTAATGTCCAACTTTTACCTAGAAGCCAGGGAAAATTAACAATAAGAATAAGACCGAGTGAGTCTGGATAATAATTATCAAGCAAATGGATAAGAAATTTCACTTGATGAAAATCCATATTCTTTGAATCACAACCAGACATATCAAAAATAACTGTAACGGATTCAATAGGTGGTTGAAGTAATTTTCGATAGGTTTCTACACAGAAGACAGTCAATCGTTCACTGAACTCATGAGGAAATTGTCCTTTGATGTGTTCTTTTGGATGAATACAACAAACTGGTCTTCCCATTTTATCATGACCCATAAAATATGTTTTATTTGTTGAGATCTCTTCTTCTGATATGGCACGTTCACCTTTAGCCACTAGCTCTTGCACGCCCCAATCTCGTCGCCATTTCAATGTTTCAATAATCTGATGGATGCATGCTTGAACATCCCATTTACGAGAACGAAGCCATCGTAAGAGTAGAACATCGGGATTATCGTAGCCCATTGCACGAAATAATTCGTCTCCATAGACAGAATCAGCTATATGTTTATTCGGTACCGAAATTTCTTTATTTACAGCTTCAATTAGATTCTTCCACGCTTGCCGAAGTGCATTGATTTGTGCACGCGTTAGATTGTCTGAAATAAAATATACACCGATAAACAAAAGCTTTCTCATCATACTACGCAGATTTACTTATGTGTCCAGGATCGTTCGATGTCATTGTGTATGTAATAGATTTTAAAATAGATCACAGCTGTTGAATGAATCAACGAAAAACGAATTCTATACATAACGAACGTTTTCAGAGCAAATGTTGTCTTTGAAGAATCGATCTTACCTACTCGCGTATGTATAAACTGCAAATAAATGTTACTGCTGAAAAATAATGTCTTATCATAGCCTGATACTTATAATAGTCATTGCATAGGATCGATCAACCGTAGCACCATTTCAATGATTATATCGATGTAAACAGATTATACCAAGATAAAGGTACCTCCCAAGTTTTTTTTTCGTGTGCTGTCATGTTCTACGTCGTTAACATGTGCGTCATGCAAGGACAAAGGATAAATTAAAAAACAATCAGTGAGTCAAGAGATACTTAAGCAAAATGCAGCGTCATAATCAGTTGTACTGAATGAGCGTATATCGCAATATTTGTTCTGTAAGAACAATTGTATGATTATGTCCTTATCTAATATTTTCTGCTGAAAAAATATATCAATATGATATGCATATGATGCTGAAAGTTTTTCTACTGTAGTCTAGATGCCTGTGCAATAACGACGTGCGTGTGTAATGCTTCAGTCGTTAAGAAATATTTTGGAGCGTGTATTCAATTATTTACTGTCATTTAAGGTGGTTTGATTTTTGTACTTACACGTGTTTGTTTGTTTTCCAAAGTCCACCCATTTGCGTATTTAGTAGCTTGATTGAGAATACGATAGGATTGAATCCGAGGACAGTTGAAAAAAAATGTAAGAATAGCTTCCTCTGGTAATGTGCTAGATGGTTCAAATAGAATTGTTTTTTTTACTTTGAGCGATATCGAATCAAAGTAAATTCACCATCAGTTGTGGCTACAATATTTACTGAATCAACATCATCTTCAGGGTGACAAATCATTTCATTTATTTTATGGTTTTTATCTTTATCGCATCCTAGTATCGCGTATCATATTTCGACCATGCTGATAGAGTTAATCGCATCGAAAAGAAACTTTTCCGTGATTGATTATTAAAATATCCCAGCCAATGGAATTAGCGGTTTATTCAATTTTTATGAGGGCACAAATAAAAAATTAGAATATATAAATTCGTATTTCTTTTTCTACTTGATCGACTTCGTTGGCAGAGAAAACGATATAAAATCGCCTGTTCAAAGCACAACTTCATTCAGATGTATTTATGTACAGTTACAGCACAATAGTCTCGACACAATAGAGACAGATACTTGTGGAGAGGACATATTCGTGTTTGATAAGTCTCTGAATAGGCTGAACATAAAGAATCTTGTTTTTCAAAAAAGTTTTATATTTGAAACAAACCGAATGTATATTTTGTGTTACTTTTACAAAAATAAGAGTCATCGTACAAGCGCATTCTTGAATTACTTTCTTTTGTAATCTGATATCTTTCCTAAGATATAGTGCATTGTGGTCTATTGGCTTCGTTGACTTCCTTGATCAATATACCATATACTCGAATATCTTGCGGATTTGGAACGACCCATATGTCTTCATTGGAACTTACA